TTTTGTTGAACCAAATTCAGTATTTCCCATCAATAGAATGTAAAGCTAGGATAATTAGTGAACTTTTTTTATGTCTTGCAGGTATATTTCTGCTTGCTAAGAATCCTAAGTTCAATTAATCCCAGCTGATATTTCGAGAACGTAAACCTACAATGAGACTTTATGTATAATGAATTCGAAACAGACATAAACGAGGCGAATATATCGCCATCTAATGGCAAAAATGTAACTGGATGTTGAATGAACGCAATATTTATTTCACATTATATCTGTCGTTGCTCTATTCAAGCAAATCTAGTTAATTTGCTGCATCGGAAAATAGAAACTTGATGTTGTTCCAGAGATAATATATTCTACATTCCATCAAATCTACGAAATTTATTTCGTTTAATTAATATCGACATTATTTTTGGATCAACAGCAACATGGCAAAAAGGGTCCATGAGGCCCTCATGATGTTTTAAATTTTTGGATATAATACATAATGAAACACCCTGTAACAGCTCCTGTCTGTTTAACTCGAAATATCTTGAAAAATTATGACTTCATCAATAGAAAATATCGGAGAATCGAGAAATTGTGATAAAAGGGCAATTTCGCCAGTGGCGTAGAATTTGGGAAGGATCAACCAGTCACTTGTCCCTGTCGTACGCCTCTGGTAGTAGCCAGAAATGGTTATTTCACATAATTTAGTAGGGTGTATGTATCTACACTTCCCGCAAAATATGACAATGATTCAAAGTAATAGGCACAAATAATTTTAAAATTTTCAAATAAAACACCTTGAAACTCAGACAGGAGACAAATTTTATCTAGGTTATTTGGATGAAATCTTCATATTTTGACCTCAGGATTCTGTAGTAGGAATATTTCCAATAAGTAATTTATTGATGCAACAAATCATTTTTTCCGTGTAGGTAAATGAAATGTTTTGAAAGACGTAAAAAAACGCAATGCATTTATAAACAGTATTCTTGCAATGTGGTAATGCTCTTATTGGTTGTTGAAAAATATGTCACATTACCCAAAATAATATACATATTGAGATACACTGGCAAACCAAATCGAACGTTTTTATTTCCTCCTAATCATGAGCTTATCAGAAATTTTCGTTTTGAATTGGAACAAATCCTGTGAATTAAATAGCGATGATGTATTTAAATAAATCATTGATTGGAATCCTTTCAACCCTGTCCGCCGTATTGAGTTAAAATAACAACACATTCCGCGAATGAAATTCATCAAAACTTCCTCGTTATGCTTTCAGTTTCCATCTCCGCCTCAAGAAGACTAAGAATAGCGTCAGAGAAATAATGCCCGAACGAAAATTTAATGTAATTTTCTAAATTGTCGACAATATCACCTGCTGGGAGATTTAAATCGATGGTATTTTCCAATGACACAGGAGTCGCATACAAATGAGATAGAGATTGAAATGTTTACATTAACAAAGGCCACCTTATGTTAGTACCAAAGGAGAGACGAAACCGCTTTGTAGACTTGTTTCGTAATATGGGCTTGTTGAATGTTTCACAATCAATTTCATTTTGTAGAGGTCCTCTCACTTCACTCAATTTTTTTAATGAAGATTCAATCATTTCTTTGAACTCATTATGATGGAATTCGATCTGTTCAAGATAGCATGCAGCGCTAAAATGGATTGAATTAATTTTTCATTTTTCATAATATGTAATACTAAAACTAATATTTCGCAAGAAATATCGCTGAAAACCGAGGTCAGGTTAGGTCAATAAAGCTACTGAATTGGTAAGTATAGCAAGTCCGATAATTTTTAGTAAACAAAAAATAGCGCTGGAGGAAATAATGTATAGAATAGTCGGGTGTAAATACAGAAGGGAGATGATTACTTCATAATTAATACCACTAGTGATACTATTTCGCCAGAAATATTCGTCGATTGTTACGACAGCTTGTTGCCTAGTAATTTCGGGAATGACAGTGTTTACTAAAACTTTCGGACCGTAGGCAAGAAGTTTTGGAACAATGTAATAAGCGGAATTAAAGCAGCAAGCTGGAGTATGTCGATCAACAAATATTTCCAGGAGAAATTGTATCACGAGTTGTATTCGTATGAGTATTCCATGATTGAGACAATAAACGAGCGGCTTGCGAGAGTTGCGCACACTGCATCCATCATTCTGGCTTCCAAAATAATTGACGTTTTAAATGTCCAAAATTTTATCGCGGAAAAACGAGGAAGCTTGGTCACGTGTGGGTCAATTCGGTTTCTGTGATGGTAGAGCAAGTCCGATAAAATTTAGTAAACAGAAAAATATCGCTGTAATACATAAGAAACCATGCCGATTCTGATTGATTCTAGACAACAAGAGTGGAATAGTCATATGTAATATCAAAAGTGACATTATTTTGCCGGAAATACTCGGTGGTGATTGTTCATCAAAATTTTCGAGAAGTTTTGGAACAATGTCATGAAGTATTCCCAACAACATATAATCTCCAGAAGTTCAAAAAAAAATCCAATACCTACCTCCTGTCCCTATTCTCCCTTGGAACGCACGATGTTCTTTGAACATTATAGGGATTTCCTTTCGTGCGCTCCAAGCGATAAAAAAAATGAGCGAAATTAGTATCCCAATTGACGAATATTTCCAGGAGAAATAGTACCACGACTAAAGGAGTCAAAAAATTACTGGAGCAATTATTCCTGCTTCACTTGATTCGAAATGATTTGCCGAATGACAAAATTAGAATACAATTTGGAAAAAAAATCTCGAATGTAGTTTAGGGAGACACAACTACATTATGAAAACAATTTAGTTTGAAATAGAAACGAAGTTATTGGAAAAGCTAGATAGCCTTTTATCTGTAATTGGAAAGCTATGTAGCTTTTTTATATTAAAAATGAGTGTTGATTAGTTGATTCTAGGAAACTGAATGAATCTCACTGGTTTTTGGAATAGGAGGAACAAAGAAGCTTAAAAATACCAAAGGTTGGTAAACATCTCCAACTAGTTTTTTTCATTGAGTCTGTCATTACTGGATGAAAAACCACAGTAAATTTTAGAAAAACTAATATAATAACAAATAAATGAAGCGTGATTCGCAGTGATAACCTAATACCCGTAGTGATTCACACATACGATGTTATCACGTTTTGCATGAGTTCATCCAAGTATACTTCTCCTATACATTTCAATTTTCATTTCAATACTGAACATATTGGTGAGTTATATTTTTATACCTATCATAATACATCATATTATTATTCTATTCGATTTGAGAGATAATGTCAATTCTCAATTTCAGAGGATTTTGAATTTTCATGCTCTCTTTGTGGATATTCAACAGATATAAATCAATGTTCGACGTGGCAAATAGCCAGGAAAGTAGTTGTTTTCTGTTGAATATTCAGAATGATATTATGTACATATCTTTATGTAGGAGAATGCAAATTTTCTACTTCGGAAGATTTTGTTTTCAAATTCTTATCGTGTGTGTTCAATAGATGTAATTCAATGTTCGTCGTGGCATATAGCCAGGAAAACAGTTGTTTTCTGTTGAATAAACCGAGAAAGAATTGATATTTTCATCACATGGAGAATGCGAATTCTCAATGTATTTCTTTATATACTTATACAGTGTGTCCCACTTAGCATGCTCACCATGGGTATCTTTTAAACGGTGAGAGATATGAGGTCGGTTAAATGACACCAAATGTGGAGTTTGTCAGGGCCAACTATAATGTGAAAAAATATTTTGATAAAATCTATTCGTTTTTGTTTTATACGCAAAAAACAGATTCTGATCATTTTCATGTCTCCTCCGTAACTTCTTCATTTATGAAATTATTCAAATAGGAATTTCACATTCTCATGGCAGTTTTCCAAAGTGATTTCGAAAAAAATATGGAATTTATACCAACTCTTCTAGAATTTGAGATACCAACTTTAGTTTTTCAAATGTAGGTCATAACTCACTATGACTTAGTTACAAATAACTTTTTTTTCTCTTTCAGATGATATGTCGCAGTAATAGTTTTGTGTTGATAACAACGGAGTTATCGTCATTTATACAAGAACAAAAAATTATTTGGAAGCCGCCATCTTGAATTTATAAATTTTAACAAAAAAATCATGATCTCCGACCTCAAAAACCCCCACTTACCAATTTTGAATGGAATCGGACCAAATCTTGTCCGCCATCTTGGAGCAGCCATTTTTTTTTAATTTCAACAAAAATTCCATAACTCCGATTAATTTGAAATTTGGCAGGTGTTCATAATTTCGGTGACAATACATTATGGAATTTTTGTTGAAATTAAAAAAAATGGCTGCTCCAAGATGGCGGACAAGATTTGGTCCGATTCCATTCAAAATTGGTTAGTAGGTGTTATTGAGGTCGAAGATCATGATTTTTTTGATAAAATTTATAAATTCAAGATGGCGGCTTCCAAATAATTTTTTGTTTTTGTGTAAATGACGATAACTCCGTTGTTATCAACACAAAACTATTACTGCGACATATCATCTGAAAGAGGAAAAAAAAGTTATTTGTAACTAAGTCATAGTGAGTTATGACCTACATTTGAAAAACTGAAGTTGGTGCTGATATCTCAAATTCTAGAAGAGTTGGTATAATTTTCATATTTTTTTCGAAATCACTTCGAAAAACTGCCATGAGAATGTGAAATTCCTATTTGAATATTTCCATAAATAAAGAAGTTACGGAGGAGACATGAAAATGATCAAAATCTGTTTTTTGCGTATAAAACAAAAACGAATAGATTTTATCAAAATATTTTTTCACATTATAGTTGGCCTTGACAAACTCCACATTTGGTGTCATTTAACCGACCTCGTATCTCTCACCGTTTAAAAGATACACATGGTGAGCATGGTAAGTGGGACACCCTGTATATATCCATTTTTTTGTGTTCATAAATATATCTGAGAATATTCCTATTCAATAGTAAATATAAAAAACACAATATGTTTAAAATCGAACAAGACAGTTATAGATTATGGTCTGAGATAAATAATTTCACTTACCATGAACGAATCCTGGTTCTCCTTGCATCGGCGGGTGATGTCCTGGTGGTATTTGATAACCTGGTGTAGAGTGGGGCGATGAGAAGGCACTTGAGCAGCTATGACGAAGACCTAGAGGAACAATGCATTTCAAATTCTCGAAACTTATTGAGTATCATAACGTTCGAGTCTACTAAGCTCAAACTCAAACTCAAACTGAAACTCTGTGATGCCATTTATTGCCCCGCTTTGAATCAAATGGACTTGAAACATCTTCAGATAATTCCTCGGATAAGACAAAATATTAATTATTGTATTCTCTCATATGCTATTTGTTCCAGCACATACAGAGTGTCCCACTTACCATGCTCACCATGGGTATCTTTTTAACGGTGAGAGATACGAAGTCGGTTAAATGACACCAAATGTGGAGTTTGTCAAGGCCAACTATAATGTGAAAAAATATTTTGATGAAATCTATTCGTTTTTGTTTTATACGCAAAAACCAGGGTTGGAATAAGTCATGACTTTTTTGAATTAATTCATTTGAAAAAAAAAACAAAGAAATTTCATTTGCCCAAAGCAAAATAGAAAAAAAGAAACAAAAAACTATGTTTTTATTCCCTCCAGAAATCTTGTAGAATATCATCATAATATAACATGTCATAACAAAATTAAAAGTGATGATAGAATACAAAATAATAGATACATATGGATCCAGTATCATCCATAAAGTTCGTAACACTGGAGAAAAAGTTTATCAGTAGAATATCGAAACATTTTTTCTCGAGGATCTATTATGCATGTCTGACTACTTAAAACACGTTCACGCCGGGGTCGTAATACAGTATTATACGTGAATGGCGGGCGTGGGATTGATGTTTCTTTCCAAAAATGACTTTACCATATTTATAGAAAATATCATTTTTTGAGTGACAAAAAGCACATCAGATGCAAAAATAATGAATATCCACTAGTTTTTCTTGATGATTCACTAGCGATCCACCGGTGGGTCGCGCCGCCGTATGACGACAATTATTGTTTATGGGCTGAGCGACACGTAGATGGGTCGCTGAGGCGCATGTCTGTAATCCGCTATAATCAAACAAAAAAAGGTGTGGATATGTCGGACCAAATGGCTTCTTATTATAGTATCTTACGTAAAACAATAAAATGGTGAAAGAAAGTCGCAATGGACATTATATTTGGTACATACAATGGTGGTAAATGCATGGGTGATGCAAAAGAAATTTGGGACAGACAATTCTATAACAATTCTTCAGTTTCGAGAAAGTATAATAAGCATTCTGTTGAATGATACTACCACCCAAATAATAAAACCGCCTAGCAGACTCCATACTTTAGGCAAACTGGAAGGACAAGTAAGAAAAGTCAGAAAGCGTTGCAGGGAGTGTTACAGACAAATTTCTGAGAAAGAAGGAAAAAAAGAAGCAGACAAAAAGACAAAAAAGGTCGTAACGTTTTGTCACGAATGTGACAATAAACCATTCCTATGTTTGGATTGTTTTAATTCACTTCATATGAATAAAAAAAGAATTGTTCGAAGTAAATATGCGTTATTCTTCATTTACCCTTCTTATACCTGCTGAAGAAATAAAATCTTGGTCCTGTGTCGATACATAGTAGATTAATATGTCTAGAGGGCGGGTAACCTAAAATATGTGCATTCGCTGTAGCCTGAGAGAATCTGACTTCAATTTTATAGTAGTGAGGCAGCGAGGCATGGGTGGGTCGCGCCGCCAGACGCTTATTCGCCGGAGCGACCCACCGGTGACTCGCAATGCCCAGTGAGTATGTACACTGCGATCCACCGGTGGGTCGCCCCGGCGTGAACGTGTTAAAAGTCGATTTTGGCACATGTCACTTGGTCACTGGTATGGCGGTAAAATCAAAAAATAACGATGGTAAAAAGTGGGGTTAGATGGGAAGATGAAGTTATTTAAAAAATATATAAATAGCTATTTTCAGTTTGTTCAAAAAATGGCTGGAAACTCCATATGTGTGCATGAAATTGAATTCTATTCAACTTGTACATCATCAACATCACTACTGTCAAAAAAAAAATAGAGAATTGTAACAAATTTGAAGAATATTTGATAAAATATTCTCCTCCAAAAATTGCTCGAAACTGAATGTGGAATAGCAACTTAATGAGAAGTGTTTATGGATATTTTGTTATCTAACACCACTTTTCGTCGCTTTATAGTATTATTTTTATTTATCACCATACCAGTGATCACGTGACATGTGTCAAAATCGATTTTCAAGTTATCGGATATGCATAATGGATCGCCGAGAGAAAAAAAATTCGATGCTGTGATAATAAACCTGTTCTCATGGACTTTATGGATGATACTTGATACTGTATATATCTGCTAGTAAAAATCTCTGTCATGCTTGAAATAACAAAGTCTTGCCAAAATACGATCGAATTTTTCAGTTTAAACTAGTTAAAATCAAAGGTAATAGTGCAATTTGTCTCATTTTTGAAAATTTGAATGAATTCATGACTTTTTCGAAAAAAGTCAATGGAATTAATTCACGAATTAAATCAGTGATTTAATTCATATGAATTAATTCATGCCAACCCTGCAAAAAACAGATTTTGATCATTTTCATGTCTCCTCCGTAACTTCTTTATTTATGAAAATATTCTAATAGGAATTTCACATTCTCATGGCAGTTTTTCAAAGTGATTTCGAAAAAAATTTGAAATTTATACCAACTCTTCTAGAATTTGAAATATCAGCACCAACTTTAATTTTTCAAATGTAGGTCATTGCTCACTATGACTAAATTACAAATAACTTTTTTTTCTCTCACAGATGATATGGCGCAGTAATAGTTTTGTGTTGATAACAACGGAGTTATCGTCATTTAAACAAAAACAAAAAATTATTTGGAAGCCGCCATCTTGAATTTATAAATTTTAACAGAAAAATCATGATCTCCGGCCTCAAAAACTCCCACTTACCAATTTTGAATGGAATCGGACCAAATCTTGTCCGCCATCTTGGAGCAGAGCCATTTTTTTTTAATGTCAACAAAAATTCCATAATGTATTGTCACCGAAATTATGAACACCTGCGAAATTTCAAGTTAATCGGAGTTATGGAATTTTTATTGAAATAAAAAAAAATGGCTGCTCCAAGATGGCGGACAAGATTTGGTCCGATTCCATTCAAAATTGGTAAGTGGGGGTTTTTGAGGTCAGTCGATCATAAATTCAAGATGGCGGCTTCCAAATAATTTTTTGTTTTTGTATAAATGACGATAACTCCGTTGTTATCAACACAAAACTATTACTGCGACATATCATCTGTAAGAAAAAAAAAGTTATCTGTAACTAAGTCATAGTGAGCTATGATCTACATTTGAAAAACTAAAGTTGGTGCTGATATCTCAAATTCTAGAAGAGTTGGTATAAATTTCATATTTTTTTCGAAATCACTTTGAAAAACTGCCATGAGAATGTGAAATTCCTATTTGAATATTTTCATATATAAAGAAGTTATGGAGGAGACATGAAAATTATCAAAATCTGTTTTTTTTCGTATAAAACAAATAGATTTTATCAAAATATTTTTTCACATTATAGTTGGCCTTGACAAACTCCACATTTGGTGTCATTTAACCGACCTCGTATCTCTCACCGTTAAAAAGATACCCACGGTGAGCATGGTAAGTGGGACACACTGTATATGCCAAATTTGAGTATTCAGTTTGGTTGGAACTAGACGAAATTTGGCTGCATTACGTGCTCGCGATTACCCACAAGATACAACCTTCAAAACATTCAACAGTTTGATTCACAATAAGTTTAATATACGAGGGATATTTCTAATGTTCTTGGAATTGTGCTATACTATACGCAGTACTCATAGGCGAAGACAGACTAGTCTTAACAGTTTATGCAACTATCTAGTGCAATATTATTCAGTTTGATCAAGATGTTACGACTGATATAGACGCGTTTTCATAGTACTGTTTTTGTAGCTCAATCCTGTATTCAAAAAGGCGAAACTCAGTATGCCTGATATCCCAATGTTTGGTACCACCATTCCCACAAAGTCCACTATATCTATGCTCGGTATTTCAGCAATACTCTTTCATGGGAAAATCATGTCAAATCCATCACGAAAGCTGTGCTTTACAAAAACTTGGATTTTTGTTCCGGGCGAAGAGCGAACATCATATTATGAGCTTCAACACCCAAATATACGCTGAAGCTCTTTTTTGTATCTTTTGGGGCGCACGAAAGGAAATTCCTATAATGTTCGTAGAACACCACGCGTACCTAGGGAGGATACTGAGAGGAGGTAGGTGTTAGGGAATTATTTTTGGCAAAAAATTCCAAAGCTTCGTCGTGTTGGTACAGTGTTGTTCGACATTTTGCAAGGTTAACGAGGAAGGGATGTGCTGACAGGGCCAGTCGAGTTCGTCTGACTGGCACTGCTAATGATGGAATCATAGCAGAGATTTCTGAGGAATATTTCCCGTGGAAATATCTGAAAGGTCGCCGACTTTCTTACGGTGTTCTGATGTAGTCAAAGAATTGGTGGGTGTGGCATCACCCACCAGGCGAATGGCTCTTCTCTGGATGGAATCTAAGAGCATCGGCGTATGTCTGGGTGCTGAACCCCATACATGAGAACAGTATCCTAAAACTGGCTTTATAGATCATGAGAAGCCGTTGAGGTATAAAGTAAATGGAAATGTTCTGAAAGCTCTGCTATAATTCCATCACTAACAATACCAGTCAGACGAACTCGATAGGCCCAGTCAGCACATCCTATCGTTGTCAACCGAGGGGTTAACCACCTTGAAATTATGGTGTACATGCATGTGGGATTCCAGTGGAATTCCAGTAGGATTCCAGGCGGATTGCGTGGGATTCTGTTGTACAGATTTTTCGAAGGTGATTAACCCCCCCTGGAAAATGTCGAACATTACTTTACCAAAACTCCTTCGTCTATAGAACAGCGAAGTTTTGGAATTCCTTACCAATGTAAGTATTCCCAAGAACTCATAACCTCCAAAAGTTTTAAAAAAATCCAAAACCTGCCTCCTTTCCGTATCTTCTCTAGATACGAACGAAATTCTCCGAACATTAAAGGAATTTTCTTTCGTGCGCTCCAAGTAATAAAAAAAACATGGAAGACGCAGCAGTCTCAAAGAGCAATAATATTCTTATTTGTGGAAAGAAGGTGTGAAAACATCAGAAATGATTCAGCGTCTGCAAGAAATATTTGGTGAGTCTGATTATAGCCACCAGGTGCGGTCCGAAGGGGGAGGGGGTCGCAGGGGTCATGACCCTCCCCAAAAATCTGCACCACGTACTGTATCTCGGCAGACTCATCGTGATAATCACCAAGGGAACGAAGAGGAATATTACCGAAGAACTGTTTATATTCCAGACCTCTTTTCTGAAGATACATTGAACCTGTTGGGCTTAGGTATTTTTATGCCAAAATCAGAATACACTGAGGATGACCTAATAAATGTGAAGAAGGCAGCAGAATTCTATACTCATTATTTGGGAGTTCCTGCTTCTCCGGTCGTTACAGAGTATCAGCTATGGATTTATGAAAACTTGGCTAAGAGGAAGAATGTCAGAAGAGAGGCTAACGGGCTTAGCTCTTTTAAATATACATTCTGAGATCTCTCCTAACGCGTTGAAAATAATCAACCGATTCTCCAAATCCAATAGACGATTTTCTTTTAGTTTGTGACTGAGTTTTTTGATGAATATAATTATAAACTATACGCTATACTCTTTATGCTTTCTTTGTTTTTTGTTCCGTTAGTTCGGTCAGAAGTCGAACGGGCAGGCGATCACACTTGTAATAATTGAACTTGGCGCTTCTTAGATTTGGGTTAAATTATGCTCAGTACATGGTATATCATATCGTGGGTCATCTCACGTAATGACGTATCTCATAAAAATCGGAATTTGAGATACTCCGTCAAGTGACTCATATTCTTGTACTCTATGATCGCACAAAGTGGCGTATCTCAATATTCAATGGTTTTCGTCTGTTTAAATATCGAATACTCAGCCTATCTCAAATTATTGAACTACCAAATCTCATGAAGTGACCTAACTATAAGAGTTACGTCATTACGTGAGATATATTTTTATTATTTGTTGAAAATTTCAACAGTGACGTATCTCACATCGGGTTTTCGGAGGAATTTGAAATATCTCGGGTGACGTCTCAAGGTACTGAAAGGAGTATTGTGAGGTATTGTACAAGTCGAATGAATTTTTGTGTTTTTATCAATAAAAATGAATGTTTGGATCAGTTATTCATTTGATTTAACTTCATATTCATGGGCGTATCTAAGACCACAAGAAGAAACATGATCTCACGTAGTGACGTATCTAACAAACTTTTTTTTTTCGCTTCGAGCGATGGTTTTTGGAAATCTCACTAATGAATGAAAAAAGAATGATCTTTCACGAACTAACCTCTGAGATATAAGCGTATTAAGATGTTGAAAACCTTTGAACTGCTCTGCTGTAAAATTAAGAAAACTGAGATACGTCACTACGTGAGATGACCGTCGATATGGAAGGAGCCTAAATGTCACAGTGGTTTGATTTCCACTTCTTCAAACTGGAGATCCCGTCGCACAAGCCTTTCAAGGGCTTCTGAGGGTTACTTTATTAGCTTAAGTAAAATGAGTGAAATAAAATAAATGAGTTATCTAAAGAAAAAATTGCCCTCTCCTGTTTCCAGTTGACCCCCCCCCCCAAATGATTGAGCTACGACCGCGCCTGATAGCCATAGCGTTAGATCACGCGCGCTATAGAAATCTGTGACAAGTTTACACATATTAGGACCGTACTAAATATAGTCCAATAGGCACATCTGGGTTAGGACCGTAGCTTCCGAATTACTGAACTCAAGAAAAGGTACATTGTGAATGATGGCTTACCAGGAGACATGGGGTGACCTGTCATAGGCAGGACGTGTCCTGGCGGTCCCATATGCTGCTGTCCATGTAATACTGGGTGATGCTGCTGTATGCCCGGTCCAGGAGGTGGTTGCATGTTAGATAGCGCATCTAATGGAGTATACGATTTGGAGGAGGGCATGGAATCACTGTTGCTCTGTAACACGGAGAATGAGGATAATTATACAGGGTGAGTAATCACTATTGGGCTAAGGACGGAACAAAATATGGCGATAGAAACAAATATGCCAAGTTTCTGATAAGTTTTTTATCATCGTTTATCATGCAATCATGCATTGAGCAGATAACTTTGAACTATTCTCACGGACAAACGGTACATTTTGGTATATAAATGAATTGGGTGCAATCAACCTATTTTGACCTCTATTATCCGTGGTAGCTCTGTGTCCCAGCAATTTTGGCAGAGGGTGAGTCTGAATAAGACCTACAAACTTCGTACACGGATTCCTCACCTCATTTTGAGGTGTACGAGAAGCCCAAAAAATATTAAACTCATGATATGAGAAACTCATAATTCCATAATTTTGTCAACCAGTGGCGTACTTAGGGTCGTATATCGTAACATTTTCCTTCATATTTTTCCTTAGACAGATGAATCGTCAAATTGGTTTATGACATCAGTTAGTCTCATCAATACCTAACCTAAAAGTACATTCTGCATGCCTAAGTGTAGAGGTTCCCAAGATATTTGCAAGAAACTAAAGATATGTCTTGAGGTTGAGACCCAATTCGCTGCGTGCCGTAATCGCATAATGCTGAAATTTTACGAGAAATTACAAAATATTTCAACCTCCTGAAAATTTTTTAATGTTGATGAGATTGAAAGCATTGTACGGGTGAGTCAGATTTAGTTCGAGAAAATTCTAATACTTCTTATTCCACACTTTATTTCGAGGTGAACAGGTTTTATTGAGGTATGTCTAAACCGATTTGAGATACTAGTTGTCGAATATGTGAATTTGATCATTACATATTACTCGAACACGCAGGTATGGAAAAAATCGAGAGGACCATATTTTACTCCAAAATTTTCTTTTCATTCGCTATACTCAGTTGCAAAATTGAGGCTATTATGAACATTGGAATAGAAAAAGACACAGTAATTTTGATCATTCTCGGTGAAAAAAAAAAAAATTCTATGCGCCAAATAATCTATTAAAATAATTAAAATTTTCATTGTTGGACATATTGAAAACGTTGCCATGGTTTGCCTCTATTGAAAACTGTTGTTCTAATAGATTAGATTAGATTTATTTCCCAATAAGATGATACAATTTTCTTTTTAATACTAATGATAATGATAGTTATTAATTCACATAAAATATGTATATCTTGCAGGGTGATGGTTCTGACAAATTTAAGATGGCTTACGACTATTAACCTTGAGTTTGTCAATTTACTTCTGACTCACCCACATAATGTTTTTAATGTTTTCGACAATCAAAAATATTCCGGAGGTTGAAAAGTAATATCGATATCTCGTATATCAGCATTATGCGATTATGGTACGCAGCAAATTACCTCAAGACATGTCTTACGTTTTTCGCAAATATCTCCGGACCTTCTACATTTAGGCATGCAGAATGTTATTACTTTTAGGTTCAGTATTGATAATCCTGACCAATGTCATTCTGAAGAAATTTAGAGAAATCCTAACTTTTTTCGTACTTTCGACACCCTGTATCTCAGTGAGGATGCATTTTAGGACATACGTTGATAGGGACTTTTCACCTCAAAATGAGGTGAGGAATCCGTGTACGAAGTTTGTCGGTCTTACTCTGACTCAACCTGTATACTCACGTTGTCTGGGGCGCTACTAGATGAGGACTGCAGCAAAGTCTCAGTAGCGACAGCAGTGGCAGCCGTCTGCGTATGACTAGTAGCGGATATCCGGTACTGCATCCCCGCTATGCTGCAGTACCCTTCATGGTGGGTGGATCTGGTGGTACTGTTGACGTACACCCCAGTGATAGTGACATCCGTGTCTTGGTTAACAATCACAGCCACCTTCTTGTTCGGACTCGCGTGCACCTCGATGACTTTGCTGTCTTCCCCTTCGTCTTCCTCTTTCTTGATGGTCTTCCTGTCTTCCTTGAAATCGTTGTCGGAAGCCGCAAAGTACTCTTCGGATGAGCCGCTGGCGCAAGAAGACTCGTCATCGTCTCTGGAGTACTTTGAGGGTCTCTTCTCCACTGAGTAGCTAGCTGCTAGTATGGCAGTTGCGTTCAGGCTTGCCATTCTTTTGCTCACTACCATATCCTTCAGGTCCATAACAAGTTCGTTCTTCTTGCGTTTGGGCTCTTTGATAGTTTCCTCTGGTTCTTTAGCCTTTTCTTTCTTTGGTTTCGGTACCCTTTCCTTCTTGATCTTGACAGGTTGGAAATCAGGGATCCTGATGTACTCTTCTTCAGAGCTATAGGAATCTTCATGCATTTCCCAGTGTTTTCCAACACCCCTAAGACCAGGTACTGACCTCAGTGTCCTTGTTGGTAACGGAGATGGGCTATTTTCCTCTTCTTCGCTAATATTTACTTCTTCCTTTATCTTCAGCGCCCTGGTTTTAGCGTTATCTTTTTTTGGTGCCGCGTAGGGCAGTTTTGCGTCTGTTTCATCGATAATGTCTAAAATGTTGCCTCTAGTTTCATTTTCGTAGAGGCAGTGTACTTTTGCTCTGGCATTCAGAGATGCCACTCGGTGTCTTTTTGGGCCGTTCCAGAAGCCGAAGAGCTTTGTCCGGCATTTTTGGTCGTCCTTCTTGGGCGACAAGCGTTTTTTTATTATGGTCATTTTGGGTTTGGTTTTGAGTTTCCTGAACTGCTTCTTTTTTACTGTTCTGGGTGGGGTTGATTCTTTATCGGAAAGAGGTTCGGACTTGATGTTCTTGAGAGTCATTGTTGAAAGTTCTTTGAGTGGTATTTCGTCAGAGAGTACTCCTGGAGATTCGGGTAATTCAGATTTGATGGTTTTTTGTGGAAAAGTCTCTTTGTCATCGAGCTCAGCTTCGGTATTCGGTTTGTGTTCTGATGTCTCATCTTTTTTGGGATTCTCGGGTTGACTTGGCTTTTTGTTTTTCTTTCTAGCACCCTTTGGAATATTTCTGGTACGCATTTCTTCGTTTACTTGTTTCAGTAGCTGGTCAATTGTTTGTTGTTTTTTGATTTCATCTTCGTCTATTTTGTCAATCGGTTTATTATCTTCTTTTTCTTTTTTGCTTTGCTTAGCTTTAGGTGCTGGTGGTTTTCTTAATTTTTTCACAGCGGTTTCCTTAGGTTTTTTGAGTTTCACGACTTTGAGTTTCGGTTTTTTATCGATAATTTCGGATTTGCTGGGTTTTTTTAAGTTCTCTTTAGGTGGAATTGAATTGGCTACAATTTTCTCGGAGATTTTTTTAGAGTTACTCTGGGCACTTATTTTCTTGGCAGTTTTCTTTTGAACTTTTGTTTGAACTTTAGAATTACCCTCATCCTTGGTCATTACCACGATGGGTTTTTTGGTTCTTTGTTGTTTGATTACCTTACCACATCTCCGTGTCTTTCTATTCTTGCCGACCAGATCTAACTCGTTCTCGATTAGTTTGATTGGAGTTAGTTTCCCTTTTATGACGAATGATATAGTTTCCGAGACGGTATCACGAGCTGTTGGTTTAGCTTTGATCATTTTCTTTTTCTGGGAAAATGTCGGCTTTCTGAGGGAAGACCTGATTGTTTTTTTATCCGGCTTTGATGGTGTCGAACGCATCATTCGGCTCTTATTTTCCACTTCGTTTACTCCATTCTTGCCGTTGATTAGGTCCTGTAACAAAAAGAAAACGGTAGATAAATAATAAAGGAAATCGAAATCAAAATAAAGAGAACTTGTAAACTTTCGCCTTTTTCAATGTTTAATTCGGCTTGTTTCCCTTAAAAGTGAGACACACTGTATAGGTACTAGGTAGGTAGTGGTAGCGTTTTTTTATCTCTTGGAGCGCACGAAAGGAAATTCCTATAATGTTCGTGGAACATCCAGCTCACCTAGGGAGGATAAGGAGAAGAGGTAGGTTTTGGAAATTTTCTTCAACTTCTGAAGGTTATCAATCCGCTGGAAACGAACAGAAGCAGTAAAAACGAAAAACGAGTATTCTGTCTGAATTCCTAAGCTGTGCAACTCTGATAACAGCTTCACTGCGATTTAGCGAGTTTTGTAACAATTCATGTGTACTTTTCCAATTGTCGCTCCATTTGTTGAACCAATTCTCCTATACCTACTTCGACAATGCGTCAGTTGATTAAACGGATTAATAAAATTCACGTTGATGAAGCCTTTTCGTCCAATAAAGGTGAGGTAATATCGGGAAATGTCAAATGTCACCAGGTATAGAGGTCACTGTTGAATTCATTCTTGCATTCAAAATATCCACATGCATGAAAAAAAATATTTCAGATAACCAAGCAAAAAGTGACAGATCAAATATTTTGGACACACGTCCGAATAAATGGTATAAAGATAGTATAATTTTCGGACCTAACAAAAGTGTCCATCTATACTAATATTATAAAGAGGAAAGATTGGTTTTTCTACAACCGACACAAAAGTCGTCCATTTTAATACCAAGATTAGCTCGGTATGTAGGGTCAAAATCGATTTTCAAGCAACTTTTTTGAATAACTTTTCTCCAACGCGACGCAAAATATCGAGAATTCGCCCTTTTCGCGGGATCGCAGTAGGCTGGGTTTAAGGCTGTCACTCGGGCTGAGTATTGGGAAAAGTGCGGCCCATGAAGGTCTACGTCTGTACCCAAAATCAAATCTCTGCTTTCAAAAATGACTAAAATACAGGGGTGTCGTCATCTCAAGTGTGTCACCATGTATATCATTTGATTACCGAGCCAAACACAGTGGAATATGGAGAGAAATGAATACTCGATGTTATTATTGTTGATATGCTCACTAACCTAACATTTTCCACTTCTTTTTTCTATACCTGGCGGACACCTGGTTCAAATGAATTCATCGATTCAATAGAAGACACAAATGGATTATTCGTTGCATTACATCCATATGACACGGCATCCACGTTTCAATTTCAGACGATGAAGTGGGGTTCACATATTGAATGTTAGATGGCGTGATTCCTAGAACTTATGATCAACATCAGTTTTACCAACCTTGATACGGCTAAAACGCAAAATGTAATCTCTATCTTCATTGGTCACAATTTGGTCACAATTATTTTCACATTGATGCCTGTAATTTTGGTACGGCACCAGACTAAACTTATAGCGAGATTTACCCACGCCATGTTATATATTTATCAAAGTAGGCGAAAATCAAGGAATTGTAAAACAGCAAAGGATTGAAGTGCGTACACCAGAGGTTTATTTCCGAGTTTATTTCATCAATGTTTGTATCATTCTTTTTTCTGAGTGTACCCTGTATATTGTTTCATTTTTGGATTTTTGAGATGATTCTAGATCAGAATGTGCTGACAATTATTATCCATGTCATACTTGACGAAAGTGAATGAATTATAATACAGTACTTTTCTGAGTAATATTCAATTTTTCTCATTTTCAATCCCTTGTCCAGATAAGAAGTGAGCATCTTCTTTCAAAAGGGCATATATAGTGGTTGAAAAAATAGTAAAAATACCGAGATGGACAAAATGGTATAAACCGAGGTATAAACACTATGATGGTCTTGACTTGCGTAAGAATGCATGCAAGGTTCTGTTATTTCCAAATTATTTAAAACATCATCTCTCTCACAATCTTATGATTTTGATGTTATTATGGTATCCCGCAAGTATAGCTGAGTTGATGGACGGTATAATCGTGGTCAATAAAAAACAAGATTTGCTACTCACCTGAGTATACAATCGACACTCAACTACTCAATTCATGAATACCTACACCAATTTGTGTATGTACCTATAGAAAATTGAAGGAACTATCTACTAAGATCTTTTCTCAGATCTTCTGAAATTCACTGAGAAATTCACATTATCAACGCGAATAGTGTTCAGTCCTACTGTTGAAAAATAGTGAGTATTCGTTGAATCAAAACTATATTCGCACGTTTCCATATTTCAGTAATTTGACTCCTTTGAATGTTGAATGGAATGCTGACGAGACATGATTGCGCAGTGTATGAATGAACTTAATGCACATAGAATCTATTTCAATACATTCATATAAAACTGTAATCAAGGTTCATCGGATGTACCGAAAAATTCAAAATAATTACTATAGACCACAGAAATATGTGCTATAGAGTATAGACTCATTAGATCGATATAGATATAGGTACAGGGTGATATTCAAGTATATGTGGTCAAACTTCAAGGGGTGATTATTAAGGTGATTCTATCAGACGAACAGTTCATATATAGGTGCCAAAGTTGCATTAATTACTCAAAATTCGCATAGAATATTCTTACCACACGGATTATTTGTTGCATTGCATACATAATGTCACGGCATTGGTAGTTACTTCACATAGGTATTTATGTGAGTTTATTCTATCGGTTGCAGAAAATAATGCATGTTTCATTCGGATCAAAAGCGCTCGTCTTCGCTAGACGCTCCGCCTCGCGAATGCAAAATTCGCTTGTCAAACAAAGTGTCACTTTTGACAGTTGTCGAGGTGTAATAAACCGGTTTGGTTAGTGGAAAACACTGTGTAGTGTACTTTTAATCCCAATAAAACAATCTACTATTATGCACTGGGAAAATAAATGAAAATTTGTATAAATAAATGTAATGGTGGTTTCCGATGTGGTTTCGAATTAGTTTCATCAAACACAACACACATTCGTGATATCACTTATTTGAGTGAGCAATACTTAGACAAACCTATATATTGCATACCACCTCGGAATATTAATAGTTCAAATTATTATTCACCACTAAGTACATCAAATAACATGTTCCATATCCAGTAATTAATGACTCTTATGTAGTGGTATTTGGCTTGTGTTGAATGTTACTCCCCTGATATTTCTATTTACTCGTATTTACCATTACGTGTTAGTGCGTACGGTAATAATAATAGGTTTACTTTTCGTGATGTACAAATCTACCAGATCAGAGAGTAATATGCCGAAATCACGAAGCCGATCGTCGACGTTCGTTTTTTTCAATGCAAGTGGCTTGGCGTTGGCGTGGTAGTCTCATCAGTTCATAGTTCATCTTTCGTTGCGTTCATCTCGTGAATTATGAATGAAATAAATTTCATTGGCCCATGGAGTTCTCATTTGCAGTGCATGTGTATAGTGTACCTACTTATCTACAAACTGTGGTACTGTGAAGTATGAACTGTACCTGATAGTGGTAACTCGAAGAGTTGTTACCGGTGTTCAACAGTGAGTAAAATACCTATTCGTTTCATCTTGAAACTAAAATGGCTGGTGAACGATGCACGCGTTGAGGATAACGAGAAAACCTCAATTTTGTTGCACACAAAAATCAAATTTACTCAATAATTCGATTTTTCTCTCATTCCCAACTTCATTCTTTGTTTAATCTATGTCTCTACTATACCTACCTAATTATCATAACATACCTGCAAATTATTGAGATTTTGTGATATTTTCCAGTTTTTTCTCCAAATAAGTATGCCCCTGACGACGGTAGACAAATATTGATTCAGAGTTTGAACAGACAAAATTGAACAGACAAAAATGAACGAATCTATAAGTAGAAATCACTAGTTTGTAGTGGTAAATACGATCCGACCTCGGATCCGACGAGCTGTAGAGGTGAATACTAACCGTACAGATATAGGGTCCATAATAACTGGTGCTTCAGTATGTCATATTGCCTCAATCATACTATTTTGTAGTGGTTATATTTGATGAATGTAGTGGCTGGCGCCTATTTTACCACAACGGATAATTTCTCTCAGTTGCATTCTGCCAATATTGTGATATTCTATGAATATCACACTCTGTGGTAGTGTTCCCCTCGATTTCTCCATTGGTACGAATTTATTGGCGTTGGAGAAATATATTTCTGTCCTAAACTAACCCATGCATTGTTTCTAAAGCTTTCTATCGACAGGTGACATCCTAATCACAGTAGCGGCGTTAGGGTAGGGCGCGGTTGGGCGACCGCCCAGGGCGCCGGATGAAAAGGGGCGCCGCAAAAACCTCTATAAATTCCTCAAATTTTTCAAATCAACGTCATTAGCGCATCTCACAATCAACAGATATAGATCTCAGTAAATGCACAGAAATGTTGAAAGAATGCTGCACTTTCTCGTAAGAATATAGAAATACTAACTCTGAAATCGCTATTTTAACTGCAGAGGAATTGGCTGAAGAACTAGAAATTGAACCTAAGCTTGGACCTAATCTTAGTGCCACATGGATAATTCAATATGTTGAGCGTCAAACTGGTGAAACTGCCCGCCACGTGCCAATAGCTTCTACAGAAAAAAATCAGGTTTAATTTTCCATTCATTTCAGAATGATGAAAGTAAGATATGGTGCGCGTATTCGGCCATTATTACGTATTGAAAATTTCGGAAAAATCACTCGACCGCCTACTATGATTTCTCTACGTCACAACGAGCGAGACGTTGATTCTACATTTTCCTGCTAGATGGTGCTATTGCTGCTGTGACGAGTGGAAATAAAATAGCAAATGGGATTATTCAACTCTGAATTCGAAAAATCTGCGA